GCTCTATATATTATTAAAGACGAGACGTTATACTATATATTGCCTTAGTAAAATATTCAATATTTATTGCTTTATTAAATTTTAAAAACTGTGATCAGAACTTTTGGTATACCCTAAGTATGTTGAATAAGAAAAGTGTCTTGAATTAAAATACATTGATATAACTTAAGTTGTTAAGAATAAATATTTGTTTTCACTTCATTATAAAAATACAATAAACTTCTTAGGTATTGAGCAACATTCACATGATATAAACAATTGAAAAGAAATTTATGATTACAAGCCTTGATAGTTACAAAAAAAAATTATTTTGAGTAATGTCATTTGAAGAAAGAAAACAAAAAAAAGAGATTATCATAGATCGATCAAAACGTGACTAGTTTATTCATGCAATCGTCAAGGTTTATAAATCATTAAAAAAATATCTTCTAGTTAAACTCTATATTTGACATTCATCGAATATAATGATCGTGCATTAAGACTTATTAAACTGTTTCAGAAATAAACAAAGTAGATCGTCAAATATGTAAACAATAATATTCGATTGTTTATTCCACTATTAATGCGTAATTTTGATATCATATGAATAAGTCTATTGAGTACGTGATGATTATACGTTCGTTGGACAATCACATTTATTTGTGCGATAATGATGATTGTGTGTGAAATGTAACAATTGAATGACGTTTATCAATAGAAACGTAAATGCTATTAGAAGTGTTTTTGCAGTCATAGAGATAGGATTTTCGACAATAAATGAAAGAATTAATATGATTTTTGATATTATAATTAATATAATAAGTAGAATAAATCCCCACCATCTTCGTGATATATGACAAGCATATTTAAAACAATGACACAATAGAGAAAAGACACTCGAACAAATGCCGATTTGATTAATTATTTCGACAGCAGTCTGTTTTTTATAAATCCAAACGAAACAAATTGTATTAAATGAAGTTAAATTTGATATTGACAAACCAGATTGACAAACAATTCTTTGACTTAAAAAAATTTTTCTAATAACAAAACAATCATGATCAATAGTTGGACAAAGATCATGATCATTTAATTTTTGTACATTCATCAATAATCCATCTAAGATTAAAAGTGAAATTATACAAGTACTAATTCCTAATTGAATAGAAAGAGATAAACGAAAACGTCGAGATAATAATAAATTAACTTGAAAACCATAAAAATTCATTATGAATGTTTGATTATCAATTCGATTAATATCTAATAATTTTTCAACTAATTCCGCAAATAATTGATGTGATATTCCAATAAAGATACTGACTTCAAATAAAAGTATCAAGAATGAACATCCAACCATCATAGATACATACTCAATAAACTCCATCCTTATTATATTGATTATGTCTATAATAAAATAAAATAAATCATATTGACTTATTCGATATTATTCATTCATGCACTGATTATAAAATTTAACACATTCGAGACGATATGAATATTGTTTTTTCATAATTCCTGAAAGGTTCCATTTCTTTGTTCATGACAGTTGTAATACTTCAAATCAGCCCTTGTCAACGTTTCTCTTATAGATATAAGCTATGAATATTCCTTTATCAGTGGTAAAAGAATCAGCCCTTTTGGTCAAAATATGGCAGAGATATTCAATTTTTTCTGTGCTAAAGAGACTTTTGGGCCACCATGTAGTGAGTCCCACCGGTGGGACCCATCGGATCGAATGTGTTAAGTCAACCGTATAATAACATAAAAAATGTATCCCTATAGATTTAAGTTACTAACTACACTGAATATTTCATTTATATTTATTATCTTTATAAAAAAAAAAGTTCTCATTATTCATTTATTATGATGATTTTATCTTGATTTTGATTACTGACCTTTTGTGTTCTACTTTATTCCAATGTATTACTAAAATAAATCATATATGTTTTAGTTCTGGTAACTATTGTTGCCATGTGTCTTTTTTTTCTTTGACAAGAAAGAAAGAGAAAAAAAGAGTAGATTGTTTATTTTCTTTGTCTCCATTTACTTTTGATTATTTCTTTGCAAAACATTGGAGAATGCGAACTATAACTATAAAGAACACTCGACAAGATATAAACCTGATGTTTCCCATTAATATCTTTCGATAGATATATAGAAAAAACAAATATATAAGAAAATAGATGGAAGGAGTTATGAAAGGTACTGATAGAAACCATTTTGTATTATTGTTCTCCTTAAAGAAAGACAGATAATCTCATCATTTACGACTGTGAGAATAAATCAATAATAAAATCAAAGAAATTTCTATCTCATTAATTAGAACAAATATGAAATTAGAGAATAAATTATCAAAAGATTGATCAAGAGCTAATCAATTGAAAAATATTTTAGCAGACAAATGTTTTAAAAAATACGTTTTATGTGTCTTAAAGTGAACCAATTGTTGCTCATAATTGTCACTTTCGATTGTGAAAGAAAAACACTTACTTTTTGTCCTTTTTATGCATTTTTCTATGGGTTTTCGTGCAAAGTAAAATTATTAAAGTAGCAAAAAAAAATCTAAAAAGTAGTCTTCTTATTCATTTTCGTGAACTATTATTATAATCATGATTGTGATCCATAATTATGAAAAAAAGAGAAGCACTTTTCATGTTTTTCTTCAGCTTTGACAATCGTACTTTGAATGAAAACACGTATAAACGCTTTAAAAGGACAAACAATAGAAAAAAAATGTCCACTTTTTATATTTTTCAGACATTTTTTTTTCTGTGTTTAAGTATGTTTTTGAAAATATTTGTCTACTTGAGTATACTAGATCTCAAGATTTGCTCCTATTGACATCTAAGAATAAGTATTATTTATTCAAGTTAAATTAATATTTTGAAGCAGCTCAATAAAGTATATATACAATCATACAGGTTTTTATACAAAAGCGATGGATTATTTGACGAACACTTTTTAGTAGAATAAAATATATAGTTTTTATGAACGATACACATTAACTTACCAATGTTTTAATTCTTTGTTTTTATTAAACAATGAATAAAACCTACTTTATGAATTAATAAATGTTTAGGATATTTTCATCTTTTTTCGTAAAACAGAATTATAGTCGTTTTTTTTCTTTTTAATAATCGATGTTAAATACTTGCATTATAACTATTGATTTCTAGAAGATCTATTATCAATAAAGGGTTGATGAAGTTTCAAAAAAAAAAAGAAAAAATTCCACAAGTTAAAACTTTATTAGTCTAAATCCATATAAAAATGCATCTAAACTTGAATACATTACATTACATCTACTATAATCTTTTGAATGTATGAATTTCGTTGTACTAATCTTATAGAGAAAGGAAATATGAATCAACTTGATACAAATTCATTTAATAAATAGTCTGATATTGAATATCAACCAATGCTTCTTAACACAATCTTGTTCATTTAGATGCTTTCGTATCTATTCATTGATATTCATTTATTAAATTTAAAATACTTTTCTAAATTATCAGATAAGAGAGATTTTTATAGTTTAATTGAAAAAATATTGAAAGTTTTAGAGATTTTGATTGAAACAAATAATTATTCTCTGAATATCTAATTATACTAATTGATCTTATCTTTCAATGAATTTTGAATTAGTATAAAATGTATTATTAACATTACCTTCAAACTTTCTATCTTTACTTAAATAAGTATAAGAGTTTACATGTTATCCTGCTATTTATTTTAATTTCATTCTACGATAGAAACTGATACAGATCAATTATTCATCATTGTTAGTAATGTCAATGGCAACGATCGAAATCTCAACATTTCATTGAAATACAATGAAATGTATTGAATTTAAAATAATAAAAGCGTCCATTGATATGAACCATTTATTTGAAACATCACCCAGGTCAAACGATACGGTCCGTATACGGACCGTATTATCGGGCGCAGTATTACGGACCGTACTGTGCTTAAGTTAGCGTCGTAATACGGCCTATTTTCACAGTATACGGACGCCCGTATACTGTGCACCAAACCAAGTGTCGTTTACGGACCGTAATGCCATGAATTTAAGCACAGTACGGTCCGTATTACTGCGCCCGAAAATTTGGTCCGTATACGGATCCGTATTGTACAACCTGGGCAGATATCTTCTTTTGCGCAAGAAAAATGTTTGAAATAAATTCTCTTGAGAATTCTTTAGTTTTTAGATGATCAACAAAATAGAAGTCAAAGACGAATATTTTTAGAAAGTAAATTTTATTCAACTATTCAATTGTTTGTGTGATATTCCTAACGAAAGTCATTTATTATTTAAATTCTCTATAAGAACTCAATAATATAAACTCTTTGATGACAATATTCATTTTAATGAGAAAAAAATAAACCATATTCAGAAATTTTTGTATGTTTTCCGACTACGAAGAATGAAATCGTAGAGAAACGATTTTTATCATCTGAATACACTATTTGAAATAATCTTTGATGAGAATTATGAATTGGTAGAATTAAAATAAATAAACAGTAATGTGTAATTAAAACTGACAACTGGGTAAGGATTTTCTTCAAATATAATAGACAATAAACTTTGATCCTCTAGATTATTATCTCTATCATATTCACATAACATGAGTATCATTTGACAAGTGGCTCCGTTTTAGTGACCAGTTATATTGAAAAAAAACTCGAACTAGTCACTAGTTGTTGTAAAAATAACTGTAAATTGTCATCAGAACTGCGTTAATTGTCGAATTGTACTCATACTATGTAAAAATGATGTAGATAATGATCTAGGAAATTAGAACTAGCCATGTATTAGATGGCAAAAAAGAATCCGTGAATTAAAAAAATTCCTAGTTAGTTATCAGGGTGTGGGTGTGGGTGTGGGTGTGGGTGTGGGTGTAAGTATTAGTTTCGTTTTCACACCCACACCAACACTCACACCCACTCACACCCACACCCACACCCACACCACGCACACCCACACCCACACCCACCCACACCCACACCCACACCCACACACCCACACCCATCCTATGTAATATGTTCTGATTTCTTGTGGAAACGTGAAAAATGCACAGAAAAAATAGGTGATTGAATAACAAATTTTATACCAAATTAGAATGCGTCAAAATATGGGATTCACCAGTATTAAATGTTAAGGATTCTACAAAAATTTTTATATCAAACATAACAAATTTCTAGATATGTCCATTATTTTTTATTACGAAAAAGAAATTTCTTTCATGAGACAGCTCAAAATAAACCTAATACAAAATTGTAGTTTTCTACAGGATAGTATTGTAGAAATTTCTAGGAATATATCATATCTGATAAAAAAAAAGTTTTGTAGAACCCTTACCATTTAATAACTAGCAAACCTCATTTTTGACGTGCTTTCATTTAGTATAAAAAATGTTACTCGATCACCTTTTTTCTGTACATATTTCACATTTTCAGAACAAATCAGAACATATAAAAATGTGATACTGTTCTTTCCAATAAAATTGATACCCTCTTCAAGCAATAAATGATAGAGACCAGCGGCTTCTGATGAATTTTGAGAGAAGTCTAGCTACTAAATCGTAACTTAATTTAATGCTACCCGTTTTGTTTTTATATTAAATTGATGTCCAGACCCTACTCTTTCGAATAGCGAAAATCGCCGCTCTCTATCTTGTTCCTATCGAGAATTATTCGAAAACTGGCAATCTGCCTTTTATTTCGGATCGGATAATAGTTCGGTTAATTTTGGAGCCGAATCAGCAAATAAAAAGCCAGACATATTTTTCGGACAAGATTCACCAGCTATTTCGGCATTTTCACAAACTTGACGAATTTCTTGTATTTCTTCTTTTGTGAGTTTGATTTGAGCTGCAGCAAGGTTTTCTTCTAGATTTTCTATTTTCGTTGTACTTGGTATTGGAATAAAATCATCACCTTGTGCAAGTATCCATGCTAATGTCAATTGACTTGGAGTGCAACCTTTCTTTCTACCTAATGCTGCTAATATTTCAGTTAATTGGAGATTTTTTGATAAGTTCTCTTCATTAAAACGTGGAAAACGTCTTCGAAAATCATTTGATGGAATATTATCCAAGCTCTTTATTTTTCCTCCAAGAATTCCTCGACTTAAAGGTGAATAACAAACAATAGTCACACCAAATTCTCGACATGTTTTCAAAAGACCAATATCTTCTCGTTCAATATCGAGACTAAATGGTGAATATTCGATTTGCACACATGCAATTGGATGGACAGCATGTGCTCGTCGAAGTGTATCACTTGAACAATTAGATAGACCAAGATATTTAACTTTACCAACATTAACAAGTTCTTTCATAGCACCGACAGTTTCTTCAATAGGTACTGTTTTATCGATACAATGTGCATAATATAGATCAATTGAATTAAGACCAAGACGTTTCAAACTTTTTTCGCATGCAGCATGAACATATTGAGCATCACCACGAACTGTGTAAGTTTTCAATTCAGGAGACATTACAAGTGCAAATTTTGTGGCAAGAAATACCTAAAGATTAGAAAGTTTTGCATCAGAATGAGCTATTAATATTTTATTAAGATATTAAAATATTTAACAGATTTTGTGTATTTTCAATGAATAGTTGACATACTTCAGTAAAACAAAGATTTTCTGTTAGAATTATTTTACTAACCTTTTCACGTTGATACGGATATTTCTCAAAATATTTTCCCAATGAATCTTCACTATCACCATAAACATCGCCACTATCAAAAAAAGTACAGCCAAGTTCAATTGCACGATCATATAATTTAAATCGCTTTTCCTCCACTTCGGTAGTTCCAGAACCTACTGAAAAAACAATTGCTCCACAGCCAATTGCTGAAACTTGAGGACCATTTTTTCCTAATTGACGGGTAGGCATTTTAGCCATTTTGAATTGCATGTATACAAAAATACTCGTTGCTTCAATCTAAAAGTAGTTATATCTTGTTATCTGCGCAAATAATACAAAACACACGTGTTGTGTTTTTTAATGTCCTTCGTCTCAAATGACAAAGAAAAGATAAGAATATGCATATATATATAACGAGAAGACCAACTTTACTTGTATCATTGAAACATTATAGGAAAGATGGGCATGAGAAGTCGACGTGGACGAGGGTGTGGGTGTACTGCATTTGAAGACAGTACCCACCCACACTCCGAACAATAATGACTTCAATTTTGTTATGACCATGGCAATCAACAAAAAAAAATATGAATTTAAGACAACGAAAGTTGAGAACCAAAGAACATTATGTCTCTAATTAATAAATTATAATTTAAAAATGTACAAAAACTAGAATAAATTTAGATGAATCGAATTTCTTTCTTTTAAGCAGCATACTGTTTCTGTTGATTTATAAGAAACACTTTAGCAATGTATTGATACTGTACATGGAGAAATTTAATCAATACTAGAACAAGCAATTGAATCGGACATGATAGAGTAACAAAGATTCGACTGAAGCGAAGAGAAAATTTACTTCTCTTACAAAAACTTTTGTTTTGATATAGTTGAACAATATATGAAGATTATATAAACTTTATTTCAGTTATTTTTCATTTTGTCGTAAAATGTGACCAGTAAAAAATGAAACATTATTTTTCGCAAAAATCCACTTTTAACCCATAGAAAAAAAAATGGCGACAAATGATGTAATTTACATCATTTTGATGGAAAATGTTCCACAGAGACATCGTGTCGAAAGTGAAAAACATGTCATGATTTCGCATGAAACGGACACTTTCATGCATGTTTTTCAAACTAATGCAATTTTTTCGAAAATATCATTCCGTGAAAGCAATTAAATTTACATAAATATTATGCCAAGGAAATCATTAACACGC